GTTATTAAATAGTTCTTATCTCAATTTTACGAGCTTCCTTGTCGTCTCCTCCGATTCTCCGCCGCCACTGGAGGAGGGGGGAGGTGTGCGAGCGGCCACGTGGGGCTTTACTGCTAGCCGAGGTGAAACCACGACACCACAAACCACCTGGCAGTCAAATGGTGTTCATTTGCTTAAATCAAACGCAGACCTAAGGTCACCATACTTATTAGTAAGTAACTAAATCCCACCTCATGGGCCTCTGAGGGGAGCAAAGGGGGTTTTATATACAAAATGTCTCTCATTCAGGCCTTGCGTGCGAGGCTGAATTTAATTCACGGTAAACAGCGTGTTGTATTCTTGCTTTTGGAAGCAAAGCTGACACTACTAATTTTTCAATAAATCAAGGCCTGCGAGATAGCGTAGCTTAACAGTATAAGGGCAAAAATAAGTTCTCACTTGAAAAATTAATAAAATCTGCCTGACAGCATAAATGCGAACATTTCAGCAAAGGCTACATATTCCTGCTCTGATCTCACAGATGACAGAGGCACTGTCAGTGGTAATGAGATCATGACTACATGGGTAATTAACTTGTAATTCCCTACCGAAACAGCAAACAATTGCACTGCTAGAATTGTGAGGAAATGACACCAAGTTTTATTGGAGGAGGAGGAAAAAGCAGAGCTGTGTCAAAGTGGCACGGCTGGCTCAGTAGCATGTTCACGAGCGGGAGATGATGTATGCCGGCCGGCCAGCTGCGGGTTGGAGTGGGTACGTACAGCTCAAGTGCTACAGGAATCACAATAATCAGTGGTAATACACAGCCTGGGTTTTATCAGGTGAACCACTCCCCAGCGCAGGCTGAGGGATATGATCCTGTGAAAACCCTCCCTAGCTGGGCCGCGTTCTTCGCTATAATTAAGCTTGCCAGTGGTGTAGCAAACGCATACAGGGTGGGGGTGTATGTATATGTACAATAAGCGTATGCAACATTATGATTTCTGATTTTGTCTAAATTCTGATTTTTTAATATATTTTTCTAGAAGCTGATCTTGATTCCAACCCAACCCCACGCTGCCCAACGCGACACTCTTCCAACATGACGCTCTGCCCAGCACCAGAGCCTTGGAAATCACGCCTGGGTCAGTGACTACACTCTTCTGGGTTTATGAATACCAGCTCAGAAAGTGAGAGGGTGCTCTGCCTTTAGCAAGGGATCTGTATAATTGTTCCAAGTACTTCAGATCCAGGAATCAACCTCCGGAGCCTGTTCCCGGTGTATGACACCCATCCTGCTGACACTCAAGTAGCACGTGGCTGAAGGACAGCCAGGGCACATCTATATTTGTTCCATTGCTCATCGCTGGCGTGTCCCCCGAGCAAAGAGGCGGTCTAAGGTTACGGTAATAAGTCTTCCAACTGCAGTCATAGGGAAGTTGCTTTTCTGTGAATTAGTTTTTACTGGGGGAGATAAATGTGAAGTTTGATGCCATCTGAGCTAGCAGAAGAATTTATGATGTCTTAAGATAGAAGGCAAGTTTTTAGGTAGTAACATTCTTTGTTCTATGTTTTTGATAACTGGTGGTCACGGACTTAAAACATTCTTCACTGTAATTGTATCTGTGCCTGTAAACTGAGCGAACACCGAGCAACCATCTGAAAACCTTATTTAGGCAGCAGCGTTCCAGACAAGCTTAATTATGCTCATTTTAATTTATTTAGTTTAATTTCATTTTGGTAGGAAAAAGACTTGTTAATTTACTTTTCTAGTTAGTAGTAGCTTCTCAAGCAAGATTTATTGTTATAATTATGGGGGCAAAAGTCTTTGCGGGAGCCAGACAACATTTTCTCGTATGTGTCAAGATCTTTTCTCTATTCAATATGTTAAAATTTGCATGATTTATTTTATTGCCTTTAGCATAAATAGTATTTCTGCCTAACTTACGTGTTCTTTTCTATAGAAGCTATCGCTAGTTGTAGAATCCACACCCATGTCTGCTGTGCCAGAGGACACATGGTGAACTTCTGTGTGTGTTTTCTTGTAGATCAGGTAGGCTGGACTGTTTTCAGTCATTGGTATAAAACTGGAGGGTTGGAAACTCCTTATCATTTTTCACTGCTTCAGGAAGTTGCTTTCTAGTCACTGTGTTGACTTTTTTAGCTAAGTAATCCTCGGGAATATTAGTAAAATACTGATGTGAAGTGATAGCAAGTACTCGAAAGCACAAAGACCATAAAAAGCAGTTTGCAAGCAAAGCCTATGTGAGCTTCCACAGCTCTGATAACCTTGATGTCTGACTGACCTTTTGACTTTTTTTCTTCTGTGAGAAAGTGGTTTTAAAGCTTTCATATGCTTTGCTGCGCTAGGAGTAGATGTAACTATAGGTTCATTACTATTCAGCTGAAATCTTTCCATGAACTCTTTGGACTGTAGTAGTAAACTGCAGCGAAAATTCACCTGGGTAGTTTTGTAGCCGTGATTTTGTTAGTGCCGGTGAACAGCGAGGTCACAGCTCTGAGAGAGCACGGTGTGGTCTGTCTGTACTAGCATTATTTCATGTGCCGTTGTTAATACAGGCTGCTTGGAAAGAATGAGCTTGGGGGACCCAGCGTTAAGATTGCCCTTGTACCTTTAACGTTGTCCCACATGCATCTGCTTTGCCATACAGCTTTGCGTTACGCATCCACAGGCCCTTTTCCCATCTCCCACATCGCACAGAATGGGCAAAGTGGGCAAGCTTCAGGTCAGAGCAGACTTCCCTCAAGTCAAGAGTCAACGACCTGCCTTGCTTCCTAGTTACTGAATGCTTTATTGTGGGCATCATCACTGATCTTTTTTCTGAGCTTCATTTACGTGAAAATGCGTATTTTCACAGCACCTGGGAACCCGCAAAGGGCAGTATTTTTCCCTGTTTTATAGAAAAGACCTGAGACCTGGACTGCGAATAGTGTTAAAAGAAACCTCAAGTTTCAGTATCGAGAATGACAACTGGAAGAATCCAGAACAGGATTTTTCAGGGCATTTACTAGTGTGTTATACGGCATCAGTGGTCACAAGGAGGGCATCCTACCGTGTGCCTGACTGACAGTTCAGAAAGAGCTCTTGACAGCAGCTGAAGGGTGAACAGACTTCAAACCACGCCATGTCCGATCGCACAACGGCATCAGTGGTCACAAGGAGGGCATCCTCCCGTGTGCCTGACTGACAGTTCAGAAAGAGCGCTTGACAGCAGCTGAAGGGTGAACACGCCATCTCTGATCGCACAGAACAGCATCCACTGCGCCTGAAGCCCAATCACAGCGTTGAGCTGAGGACAGGACTACTCCACAGTTTGGAAATCAGACATCAGGGTCACAGATGAGCCACTCGGGGAACATGGGATGCACACCAGAGACAGCTCTCTGCTGTGCTTTGCACGGAGGCAAGAAGAAACAAGCTTCCCAGTGCTTCACTTCAGAAGCTTCACTTAGGAAATGGAGCTACCGGCTTTAGTCCTTCCCATGGTGACCTCCAGGCCCTGAGCAGTCCTCAGCCAACCCTATTCCATCTCTATATTTTTAAGAAAAAAAAGCCCATGCGTGATATCTAAGTGAGTAGTTAAAGATCTCTTTTATCTTTGACAGGTTTGAGACTCGGCATCTCGAAGGCCTCACTGAGGATAACAATGTCATCCAGATCTGGCAGCGCAAGAGAGTATGAACCTAGTGACCAGTCGCCTGGTTGTTCAGCTTCCCCACCAGGCCCAGAGTCTAGTGAGACTGAGGCTGAAGGCTTGATATTTTATCACATGGATCTTTATGGATCAAAGGAGAGGTTTGATATCTTTCCCGAAGATCCATCTGGTCAAGGAGACAGATCTCTGGAGGATACCAGAAGGGACTCTGCATTGAGTAGTGAAAAACCTCAGCCCTCACAAGAAGCTGGATATGACTTGGAAAAGGAGGTTGCAGAGTTGGCTAAGATGTATGGACTTGATGAGGATAGAGAAAAAGAGCTTGAGCTTCTTGGAGGACGTCTGGAGATGGTGGAGAGCAGGTGGCCGCTGGCTCGCACAGAAGAAGCGGGATCACAAGGCGCCGTATTTAACACATCAAAAAGCAGCTCTCCAGTGAAAGATCAAAGCACAAAGCAACAGCGACTTCCCAGTGAGGCATCTCAAGATGAAGATCAGAGCAAAGCCAGAGCAGAGGATGAGGCCGAGAGCCAGACGTGGTCCAGAGAGGGGCGTAGCAGCGGCGGCATGTCAGACGAGGGGAGCAGTCAGGCTGTCAGCGAGGAGGAGGAAGCAGCAGATGTCTTTTGCTCCACCTGCAAGATGCCAATCCGAGCTTTTGACAAACTGTTTGGCGAGCACAAGGATCACGAGGTGGCTCAGCTTCCCAATGCCGTGGAAAGCGAAAAGGTAAGTATCATACAAGGGTACTGCAGTGCCTCAAAACCAGTGTTCAGGCATACTAAGAATCACACTGGGTGTTTTGGTAGGAGGAGATTCATAAAAACATGTGCAAGTTGGAAGAGCAGATTGCCCAGATGGAAAACTTTGCCAGCCACTTGGAGGAAATCTTCATCACCGTAGAGGTAAGGCGTTTTTTCTTTGGCTACCTTTGTGGTACCCGGGTTAGAACAGTTTTGACAGTCGCAGAGTCCAGTTGTTAATGAGGTGAGTAATTACGGTAATGGAGCACAGAATTATCTTGGGGTTTGCCTAGACTGAGCTACTCAGGAAAATTCATCCTAATGCATTTTTTAAGTGAGCTGGTGAAACCACAGGAAGCATTTGCAGAGACACTTGTATTCAGAAACAGTGACCCCCACTCAGGTTATCTTAGTTTTAAATGGCCAAGGACCTGTGGTCTAACCAGTCCATCCAGAGTGTACCCTTTGTGTTCACTCGGTTTCCTTTGCAGAAGTGTCGGGTACAGGCAAACCCTTGGACCAGCTGCCTGGAGATACAACACTTCAGGGGTTGTGCTCCCGGCTTGGCTGATGTCAGCTTGGCCCCGGGGGAAGGGGCCCAGCTGGCAGCAAGTCAAAGCGAAGCAGTAACTCAAGGCACCTACTGTCTTTTCTCTGCTGCGTGTGGCACCGAGGGACGTCGCTGCCTGAGCAGCGGGCAGCTGCTGGCAATAAAGACTTGCCTGCTCCTTAAATCTATCTTCCTAATGCCTTCTCCAGCAGCGAATGAGGATACCATCATTAGCCGCTTGGCACCCCCAGTGTGAATCCATGGATCCCACTGGGTTGCCATGGTTTCTCTTATGGAAAGTTGTGCTTGACTGTGTTGGTGGAAACGCTTGCGAGATTACGGCTAGGATATATCCCTGGGCTTTGCTTGGAGACAGTTGACTTGTATCATTGTTTTTATTATAATTTCTGATGCTCTTATTATGCCTGGAACCAAATCCAACACTCTCTTGTGCCTCAGTGGGGGTGAGTGATTAGAATAAACCCCTAAAAATGCAAATAAGTCTAGTTACAGCTCCTGTGTATTGGCATTGCCTCCCTGGCCAGGAGAATTTTAGGCAGACCCGAGTAAGATTTTTCTCTGGTTGAGCTGTGGATCAGGGCTGACACCAAAGAACAGACCCCACAAATGCCTTGCAGGAAAACTTTGGGAGGCAGGAGCAGAACTTTGAGGTGCATTACAACGATGCAGTGCAAGTGCTTGCTCAGAAGTACGAAGAACAGTTGGAAGCGCTGGGGGAGGAGAAGAGGCAGAAGCTGGAAGCTTTGTATGGACAACTGATCAGTTGTGGGGAACACCTCGACACCTGCAAGGAGCTGACAGACACAACCCAGGAGCTTTACCTGGAAAACAACAAAGCCGAGTTCATGAAGGTAAGGAGCTTTGACTGGCAAGGCCCCTTCTAAATGCTCTTTGCTGCTTGCGAGTACTTCCCCACTGGCAAGTCCCCCGTGGATTTATCTCTGGAAAGCATTTGGGGTGCTTGGTCCATGGTGCTGTCACTGCTCCAGGTGCTTGGCACGGTGACATTGAGTCGGTGGGACAACACAACGGGGCCGAGATGCAGAAGCAGACGTTTGTAACTTGGATGGTCAATGATTTATGAGTCTCACTGGTGTTCAGAGAGATCTCTCTCTACGAAGCTTATCTGAGGAAAATCTGGAAGCACCTAGTGTTCATTGCCTCATGTGGGCTCAGCTCCCTTGCTCTGTTCTGGGCTCACAGCAGGCAGGCTGATGCAACCACTTTGGAAGCTATTTCTTTTTCTTGCTCATTTTGTTGGAAGGTTCAGCTGAACAGGAGGCTCCAAACTAAATACATCAGGAGCTCCTGCAAAGTGATGGATGAGTCCCACTGCTGAGGAGGTGTCAAGAAGTTATTTTTCTTTAGCAAGTAGAAAGATCATTGGGAAAAAAACATGAGAATTTTCACTGCTGATGAGTGATTGCTCTAATCCGAGCTGTCCTGTGGCTCAGGTGGGTGGGAACATTTCTACAGTTCAGCCACAGTAACTTCTGAACTGGACAGTAAACAAATCTCCAACACCTCCAGCCTGCTCCAATGGCTGACTTTTCCCATCCCTCTGCACCTCTGGAATAACCTTATTTTCTCCTTAGCTTGTCAAGTTTTACATCACTCCTAGGAGCCATTATTCACCAAGAGGTAAATAGTTCTTGGTCATGAGCTCTCAGCTACTTGGGTTTCTCCAGGGACCTGCCTTCCAGTAACGTCGACTGCTCAGCCTCCCTCCAGTGCAGGTCATTTCACTAAGGTATTTTCCCCAGATGTCAGGTTTCGGTTGCGAAGGATCCATGGGCGCTTTGGACACTGGAGGAAGGACACAGTCTAGTTGGGTAGACACTTGTCACTTACAACTTGGCATGTTATCTTACTGTAAATTCAGCCAAGATCTGTCTGTTTGAACGGACAGTTAGGCGTGGGTTGTTCTTAGAGATGGGTGAGAGCCCATTAGCTCGCTCTAAGGGCTAATTTGGGACAATTCATGTAAGGCAGGTCAACAGCATGATGTAGAGTAATGCAGGAACTGTATCTATTCTGTCATTAACACTCTCTCTTTTTTTCTACAGGCAGCAGTAACCATGGTTGACAGGTAGTATGACAGTCTGGGGGTTTGTGTCACATTCCTTCCTGATAATTGGGCCTGATATTGGAGACCTTGCATGTTCTGGACTCTGTTCAGGCACACAGATGTTATCTAAGCTACTAGAGCTATTGAAATCCTTAGTCTAATTTTTGTCTCAAACTGCAGCAGAAAAAAGTTGTTCTAAGAAGTTGAACACTTAAAACTAGTTTTGAGCCAATTTTAAAAAAACCCAAAGGGAGAGTTAGAGCTCTGTTTTCAGCTTAGTCATAAGGAACTAATTTCAGTGACTGAGAAACAGGATTGCTGAAGATCTTGAAAGAAATGCTGTGGATACAAATCTGCCTAAAATTGAGCTCCCTAAATAGATTAGTAACAGGCTTATTTATGCATTAGTATAGAGGGGTAGAAAGTCAAGCTGTGGGAGCTCAAAACAGATACTGAAAGATCTTGGAGCAGTTGGAAGAAATCTCAGCGCACGCTAAATCAGTTGCAAAAAACATACATTGAAATTGACTGTCATCATTTACGAAAACACAGAGAAAAGTTACCCCTTGGTTTCCAGCTTACAACACCTGGAACCATGAGGCCCTGAATTAGCAACAGCTTCATAAATTCTAAATAATTGAAGTCATGGAGCTAGCAGCTTGCTTCCCACCGAGGGGTGCTGGGGGAAATCTCACTCGCCCGCGCAGCCAGCTCGCCGCGGGAGCGGGGCACACGAAGCGTGGTCCCTCAGTCCCGCCAGCATCCCGCTCTGCTTGGCGTCTGGGGGCACTGACGTGGCGTGTGGCCATGCCTCTGAGCAGAGGGCACGGGGAGGCTGAGCTTCGTACGACCGTGAAAACATTGTTTTATGGAAATAGCTGTTATTTTAGAGTTTGATGTTCTCCTCTTACCAATAGGCATCATAGAAAGGTATCTCCATCACTATAGTACTTCTAATTAGGCTCTCTCCCCCTCCCCCCCAATTACAGGCTGAAAGAATTCTTAAAGAAAGAAGTGGATTTAGAACTTTCAACACTGCCAGACTTTGAAGAGCGGGTCATAGATTTCTCTGAAGCTGAAAAACTAATGAACTCCATTAATGCTATTCCAGGTACTCGTCCTATCTGATCATTATTTCAGACCTATTTACATTTAATTAAGGATATGTATTAAACAGAAGCCCATTACTTCTTTTAAAGGAGAACTGCAAAGGCGGAATTAGCTTCTCCCTAGTTTTCCCTTTAGATTTTTTGGTTTGCCTATGTATACAGAGACACTGGAAGCTATTTTTGGATTTTCTTTTCATGTGTTTTCAGTATAAAATTACCAAAACTGCCAGGTTTGGTCTTCCCTGCTTTGGCTGGACGATTCCCTAGAAGACTCACAAAGACTCTCCTCTTCTGTCAGGCATGCTTAGTCGGTGGTAGCTTGTCTGGCCTTGTAGTTCCTTGAACAAAGTAGAGAGGGACACCAGACTGCTTTAAATAACCTGCACAGCTTCTCTCGATAACCAGATTTCAGTGGCCTGTTCCTCTGCTATTTAGCAAACATTTTTCCTGTTATCCACAAGAAACAGAGCCAAACCCAAATAAATCTCTAATAATTAATAAAATAAAAATACGAAAGTTTTTAAGTCTTCTCTGGCACACCACAAATGGTCAGAAAGAGCAATAGGCGTTTTTTGATGCCCATACATTGTGTTTTCTTGAAGCAAAATAGCATTTGCTACTTGTTTGCTGGTACTGCTGGCCCCACATTGCATGGCTTTTCCTCCAGAGGCTCCTCAGCCCCCGGGCCGGGCCGCAGCAGGGCGACGGGCGTCAGATGTTGCTCCTGCATGGCCATACTAGCTCGCTGGGGACCGGCCGCCCACCATGGCAGGGGAGGTCAAGTTTACAGAGGAGGGTTAGGCTGAGGCTTATGTATTTTCTTGGTTTGATTTTGATTTGAAGCGAGACTAGTCCATACACCAGTGACCTGATTATTATCTGCAACTGTTTACAGGGTCAGCTCCTAGCCTTTCTCCATGTGGGAGGAATATGACTGTTCAATGCCTGGGCTTTGTGTAAATGCCCTCGTTGAGAGGCAAGGTGTTTGTCTGTGAACAACACACCACACTTATACCTTCAAAACCTGACCTCTTCTCCCCTCTGCAGCTCCTTGTGCCCCTGTGATCAATCCCCAGGCTCCCAATGCAGCAACTGGCACCTCACTGAGAGTTTGCTGGGGCCTGTTCTCGGATGACACCGTGGAGTGCTACCAGCTGTGCTATAAACCAGTGAGCAACGAGAGGTGCAGCGATGAACAGGCAGGTAAGGCGCCCTGGACCCGAGGGGATGCCTTATCCCTGCGCTGGCCAAACCAGCTACTTCCAAAGTGCCTCTGGACTCGCTGTGGCAACCAGGGCAGCGTCTGTGCAACCTCTCCACCACCAAAACTGGCATATCTGCCACCACATTTCCCACTTGTGGCTTTGTCTCTCTTCCCCTGCCAGGTTTGACAGGCAGGAGCAAAGGCAGGACAGGGCAGCAGCTGGGATGGCAGGAGTGGGAAGGGGACAGTGGATGGAGTCAGGTCTCAACAGTAGCACTTCCAGGAGGGTGGGCACTGCGTTACACACACGTGCGCTGCACCCACTGCAAGACACGGTATTTTTAGAGAGCAAATCATCATATTATCGTCCCGCCCGCTGAACCCCCCCCAGTCATTTTACAGTTTATCTCAGCACTAATAATAGGCTGTAACTCCCCACCACCCACACACAGAACTCTCCTAAAATGCCCCAGCCTTGTGACAAAACTGCCTTTGCTAATAATATTCTTGCAGAACCTTTTACTGAAGACACCCAGTCGCTTCTCCAGCAAAAGTGGAAGCCAGTAGGGTGCCAAACAGCCGGTTCAGAAGGAAAAGCAGGACCCATCCAATTTTTATAAGATTAAGAAGAAGAAATTAGTAGTAAATAAGTGATGAGTGAGTAGAAGTGTCCTACTGCTGGGATGAGCTGACTAGGCAGCATCCCTGGAGTGGGAACATGCGGGGTCTTTTTAGGAAAAATTCAGTGACAGGTGGGTGACCTTTTTTTTTTCTGAGTGACGTGGCTCCTTCAGAAGCTGATGTGTTATCTGATTTCTGCCTCCTCAGAGGAAGGCATGGTGAAACAGCCTGACAGCTAATCAAAGGGAACGGAGCACAAGGAGCTCTCTTGAACTCTGCGCACAAAACAATGCACCTCAACTCCATCATCTGAGGCAGCTTTGAGGAAGAGAGGGTAGCTGTGTCGAGGCACTGTAAATGCTTTGTTGTTTTCATTTCAGAGCACACGCTAAAGGTCAAAGAAACATACTGCACCATTACTAATCTCTTGCCGAATACACAGTATGAATTTTGGGTCAGCGCTTTAAATGCCTCTGGTATCAGTCCACCAAGTGAAAGAGCAGTTTATGTAACAGGTAAAAATATTTTATTCATACGACTGTGTGACCTTCGTAGTGAAATTCACAGTGACCTCTGAATTTTGTACCAGCAATGCTTTCTGGGCACTTGGTTTCTTCTGATGGAACACTACTGACTGCATGGGAATTTCCTACTTTTATTTGGAGAGCCTATCAGGTCAATTATCTCTGGTTTAGAGTTGAAGAAACAGAAGCACAGAGACAAAATATTTGATTTAAATGCAGGCATGTAGGAGAGCTGGGAAAAAGGTGCAAGTCTCCCAGTTCTGCCAGGTGGATGCCAGCCCTCCTTTTATTGGCCTGTATTTATTTTGTGGATTCTCCTGCTGTGCTGCTCTTTGTAGCTGCAGTTCAGTCAAGCACATTTTGATTAGAGTGGCTTGTCTTCCGGAATTCTTCCCAGTAGCTGAACCGAAAGAAGATTAATTACAAACCCCGGTTCTCTTTTGTGAAACCCTGACATCAAATGAGCAAGCCAGAGTGAGGCCTTCAAGCACTCATTCCAGCTGTCTCTGAGATCTTAGAGCAGAGAAGGGAGGCACCTTTATGACAGAGATAAAACCAATGACAGAAAGAAAAGGTTGTGTAATCAGTCTCTATCTATGTTACTTCTCTGATTAATTCTCTCGGGACCTTTGTAGTCCAAATTAAGTCTTTGTATAGTACTGTTAATCACCCTGCCTGCTGTTTATTGTCCGTTGGGGATGCAGGTTTCTTTAACTATACAGTATTAGTAAACAACTTTGTTCTGTTTTTTAAGTCTTCAAAGCACGTTTGTTGCAAACATCTCCGAGCAACAGCTTAGAATTGTTCTTTCACCTATTTTTTAGCTCCTTCACCACCTACCATAAAGAGTAAAAAGATCCGGAGCTGTGAAAACGCAGCACTGGTGTGCTGGGAATCTGGAGACATTAACCCTGTTGATTCCTACATGGTTGAGTTGTCCAAGCTGACAGATGAAGGAAACGGCGACGGTATTACTGAGTGAGTCACTATTTCTGTCAAATCCGTGACCTGTAGAGATGAAACCATTTCAAGTCACATGGCACCAGGCAGCGCTAAGAAGGGACTCATGACCCTTTGGTGAATCCACCTTTATAAACATCCCTGTTAGTAAAATTACCATATAAATGTTAATCGAAAATGACTACACCGGCTATGCGAAAAGGGCAGGAGCAACCGTAGAACTCCGCATAGTCTGTCACTGAGCATCTCTCACCCCTGCTACCGACAACTGCACGAGGTAGCGTGTTGTTGATGGGTTGCAAGAGGAGCTGATCATGTAATTTCTCCTTTGTTGTTCGCAAAAACAATCTCCGAGGCCTCTACCCTATCATTTTCCATGGATTTATATTCTGTAGATCTATTGTTGGGATTCCCAACTGCGAAGTCCTGATTCACCTCCAGCCAGCACAAAGCTACCGCATCTGTGTGAGAGCCCTAAACCTGGGTGGTTCCAGTGGAAGAAGCGAGCCTGTCCTGATACACACCACAGGTACTGCACAGCTCGGGCTGACTCCAGCAGCCTATTGTAGCGTTTATTATTTCCTTTGCTGGCTGCAATGGCCTCTGGATCAGGTCCTAATCTCTTACATCTAATTACACACCTGGTAACCTTTTAGGAATGAAAGCACCCACTTTCTGTAACAATAAATGCCTTGCTTCAGCTCCGTAATTCGAAACTATTTCTGTCCCGTACATTTGATACTTGAAAGTTACTAATTTCTAACCATTTTAAAAGACTGGATCAACCCAGCACGCCCAGATGTGGCCAGCTTGCCAAGTACTGACACACCAGTGGAGAAAGTTGTGGTGTGTTTCTACTTTACTTCAGAGACTACCTTGTAATCGGGCTGCTGCTGGAAAGGTTGGTTGAGACAGTCAGTCAGCACTTCCCAGAGTCATTTTGGATATGCAGAATCTCCCCATGTATGTATTAGAACATCTCCAGCTTGGTTGGATGAGGGCTGATTCCCTTTATTCATCAGGAAAAAGGCAGTCCAGCTTCCAGCTGGAAGCTTTGCTTTTGGTAACTGACACAGCATCGTCTCTGCGCTCAGTGCTGCTCTGGGCAAGGCTGAACCTTCTCCCCCAGAGGGAAGCTGGAAGCCCTTTCCCCTCCCAACCATCCATCAGAGCTGTTCTAATGACTTCTATGACCAGTTTTCCTGTTCACCGGTGCTATAATGACGCTGCAGCTTCACTGGGGCATCCCGCTCACTCACAGGTGCGTTCACACCATACCTGCGTCCCTTCTGCACTTACCCTCCGTGAGAGATCTGCAGACTGTGCTCCCTCAGCACGCTGACCACGCGCCTGTTCATCTGCGTTTCAGCAAGAAACCCGTCTGCCGCGCATCAGCGACACCGAGGGAGAGAAACGGTCATTCTCACATCCCTGGGGAGGAAGACTGGCATTGTGTTACCCTTGGTTGTGTGCCTTTCAGCTACTTAAATCCAACTAGGTGTTTGAAATTGCCAATTCTGCTTGCACAGCACGTGTTTGTTTTCAGCAGCACACGCCTGCGATTGCCCTGTCGCTGTTTGTATTGTATTTGCATTGAAGGAACTTGCAGTTTGATTATAACAATTTCGTTTGGAGAGATTCGGCTCCTCTGAGCTTCCATTATGCAAACAGCTGATGCAGAGTGATCCGTCAGCTGCGGGCCCTCACCTCCAGCACTGGGAATGACCTTTGATTCTTCCTTACTGGGCTGGGTACACAAACACCGACTGCAAACTGCAGCTGTGACGCACGTGGCTGCTCATCGCGGCGCAGTGCGTCAGACCTGCTTTGTGAAGCTTCCGAAGGGAGAAAGGCAGAAGTGCTTTATCTGGGGCTGGCTTAGCTGACCTACCTCTCTGAGGGCTGATCTGATGAGGAGGTGATGAGGGAAGCACGAGGGATGCTGCGTGTGGCACCGTGGTAGAGGTTCCTTCTCTTCAAACTATGCCTGGCACTTATGTGGAAGAGTGGGGCCACAGAGAGGCCTTTAAGCCCCCCCTTCTCCTTTCAGTGATTAAAAATAGATCACTTCAGCTCTGAGTGCTGGCTTGAATCTGGACAGTCCATTGCAGGGAGGACCCCTCACCTCTGAATAGCTCCTTCCTGCACCATGCCTGCAGCTTTGAGCCCTGGGTGGTTTCAAAACCAGAGGAGGCCACGGAGATGCTCTGAGGGCTGGAGCCCCTCTGCCATGGGGACAGGCTGGGAGAGTTGGGCTTGTTCAGCCTGGAGAAGAGAAGGCTCCGGGGGGACCTTATTTGCAGCCTTCCAGTACCTGAAGGGGCTACAAGGAAGCTGGGGGGGACTTTTTACAAGGGCAGGGAGTGACAGGACAAGGGGTAACGGGTTTAAATTGAAAGTGGGGAGGTTTAGATTAGATATCAGGAAGAAATTCTTCACAGAGAGGGTGGAGAGCACTGGAACAGGTTGCCCAGGGAAGCTGTGGATGCCCCATCCCTGGAAGTGTCCAAGGCCAGGCTGGATGAGGCTTGTAGCAACCTGGTCTAGTGGAAGGTGTCCCTGCCCATGGCAGGGGGGTTGGAACTGGATGGGCTTTAAGGTCCCTTACAACCCAAACCATTCCGTGATCCTATGAAAACCTGGTTAAGGCCCCTTTTCTGCTTGTCACTCAGCTGTAACTAAACAGCGTTAAGCTGTAAAAGATTTGAAAAACTCCAAACGGACAACCTTGTCCTTTCAATGACCGCCACAAATTCCTTCCAGAGCACTGGGTTTTGTGGATCCAAACATTTCACCACACCCTTGCTGCAAACCCTAATGCCGTAAGGAGTTGCTGGAGTTATCCTCAGGCATTCTCCTCTCTTGCAGGCACCTACTTCTGCCTCAGCGAGGACACGGCCCATCCTTTACTGGCGATTCTAGACGACGGATTTACAATCGCATGCGATGAACTGGAAAACCCGGAGTGCGATCTGCCTGTCTATGACAACAGCTTTACAAGGTAGACGGCAGAATTTCAGGTGCAACTAATGCATGTGGTTTGTGGCCCATGACACACCCCCACCCTGAATTTAACTCCACGAGAAAGGTTTGCTGGTATTGCAGCTGTCCTCACTTACAAGCCAGGCACCAACCAAGTGAAACACCCAGGCTGCGTATGTGTGTATAAGGTACAGTGCCTTTTTCTGACTTGTTTTTTGCACAAGTGACTATGATTGTCTTCAGTTTTGGACAACTGCTAACATCTTTGTCAGTCTTTTTAAAATATGGATTACTCATCTTTTAGAAAATCAGATTTATTTTAAGGTATTTCAAGTTGGCCTCCTAATACAACGATTCAGGTTGAAATGGTAGGCTTTCCCCATAGTTCCTTGGAGAGAAAAACTCCGTATCCATTATCCTGGCCCCACAGTTTCACTGGGATTATCGTTCCTGAGCACCATTACTGAACTGTCTGTGGCCGCTGCTCTTCGCTGAGAATTGCTAGGGTGACTAATACATACTATCTACAATGTCTCCCTTTTTGAATGATGTGTGCACCGACATCTATTAAATTCCAAAACTTTCTTCTCATTTCATTCTTTACAGAGCCCCAAAAAAACCAGAAAAAATGTCACAAGAAAAAAAATTAAATCAAACCCCATACACTCTTAATACAGCACCAGTGGGATTTAAGAGAAAAGGTATAATTATCAGGTTGTCTTTTGATTAGAGCGATCCAGCACTTGCACACTTCCAAGACTCCTCTCTGCTGCCTGTTGCTCCCTCTCTCCTGCCCCTTCCTCTGCAGGCTGGCAAGGTGATAGAGTGCAGGATGTGCACCGTGTGCAGGAGGCTCTGCCCATCCTTCCTTGCTCTCGGTTTCACACTTGGAGATTTGGGGGCTGGTTTTATATAGCTCTGTCCACTGGAAACCACCAAACACACTAAAACTTCTTCCCCACTGCAAATACTAAAGAAGGGACAAAAGAAAAACCTGTTGGTGCTTTGGGCACCTGACCCTATTTGGAAGAGGTTTGTGTGGTTCAAAGCACAGTTGGTGTGTTTGGGTTTTTTTTAAATAGATGCCAGGAAGTGTCTAGTGGGGCTTTCAGCAGCTCTCGCTGATGTTGTGAGTTTAAATCTTGCTCTCTAGCTGCACTTTGGAACTTCAGCATCACTGGGAAGTCACTTCAGGTTCATAAAGAGTTTAAATCTTGCTCTCTAGCTGCTCTTTGGAACTTCAGCATCACTGGGAAGTCACTTCAGGTTCATAAGGAGGATTACAGATGCAGCCAGCCATTACCTACAAACCTGTTTACACGTTGGGCACCTTGAGCTAAATTTGAACAGGTATTTAAGTGCCAAAACAAATGCTGAGG